AAAGAGATGCACAGGGCAAGGTGTGGGAAAGGGGCACAGAATGCCCATGACCCTTCCAGGCACGTTATCCTCCCACACACTGAGGTGTTCAGCAACCCAGAAACTCTCTGAACCCAATTATTTTGAGATTTTTATGGAGGCTTTATTACACAGTTATGATCAATCATTAACTCAGTCTCCAGCCCCTTTTCTCTTCTGGGGGTGGGAGGGTGGGGCTGAAATTTCCAAGCTTTTCATCATGGCCTGGTGTTTCTGGTGACCAGCCTCTATCCTGAAGCTATATAGGAACCCACTGAGAATATCTTCATCAGAACAAAAAACACCCCATCACCCAGGAAATTTCAAGGGATTTAGGAGCTCTGTATCAGGAACCAGCGTCAATGACCTGGTATTAGAACAACAACAACAACAACAACAACAATGCTCCTAGTCCTCTTATCTCTTAGGAAATTACAGGATTGTAGGAGCTTTATGCCAGGAACTGGAAGCAGTTCTATGCAATCATTTTTTGTTCCATTTAATCATTCACATATACTCTTACCTAAAGACAGACTTTGCATATATCTCTTTGCATGTATCCCAGCATTCTACTACCTACATGTTTACTGAAGTGATTTGTCTGTCTCCCTTCAATTGTGGATTAAAGAATGTTGACTAAGAACAGGGTCACGCAGAAATCCTCTCCACCTTCTTAACTCCAACACATAATACTTACATCAATTTTTCAATCACCACTATGCTGGTATGTCACCTCTCTTAACACTGTCCAGTCCAGAATTACTATATTTTGCTGTGTATAATGTGCTCCCATGTATAATGTGTTTTTTGCCCAAAGGTTCAGGAAAAAAATCTTTTGTTTTAATTTTTTAATTCAATTTTTTATTTACTTATATTTAGAAACAAAACTGATGATCATATTTCATGGTATTATTTTGCACACAGATATCATTTCTGCTTTCTAGAGTTACACATTTAATGCATAAGCATAAATAAAAGAATTAAAAACATTTACATAGATATGGAGTTAGTACTACCCATATATAATGTGCATCCTTATTTTTACCTCAAAAATTTGGGCAAAAAAGTGAGCATTATACACAGCAAAATACAGTATCTGCCTTATTTCAAGTTTTTGTGAGAGAGAGGTGCCTAATGACGCACTGAAATTAAATGCCATGTCTTCATCATTTCCTTAATTTGGACTGCAGTAACTTCCTCAATAAAGGGGATGGGATCAGTTTGACATGGCCTGTTTTCAGTCTACATGTATCAAGCTCTAATGCCTATCAGGTTTGTGTTTTGTTTTCACAGCTAATGCATTTTTGGGCCTACAATTTTGCCAGGTATGGCCTACAAGCCTCAAGTTCTGTGGTTTTATCACCTATTTTCATCTCCTTTTAGAAAATGAGAACCTTATTTTCCTGTCACCTGGCATATCTTATTCTTGATGAGATATCAAAGATAACACATGAGGGTTCCATAGTAATGTCTGCATGCTATTATAGCAACATGGGTCTTCAGACTTGGAATTAAAGCAACTAAATATTGTCTTTCTAGATATTTACTTTCTTGGTGTCCATTGTGCTCTAATTTGTTTATTAGGCTTTCAATATGTACAAGAATTTGTGCTCAGTAGTAAGGGTACAGTTGTTCACATGGAGTTTACAGTTAAATGGAGGAGACAAAAATGCCTAGGAAATTGACATAAAGTGTCATAATCCCTAAGAAGGTTATGGGAGCCTATAGGGGGAGAGGGCAGGTGAATATGGGGCTGGTGGTGGTGATACCTGATTTGATTTGCATTTTAGAGAGATGATTCTGGCAGTACTTGAGAACTGGGCTTCACTGAAATGTTGTACAAGAGTCATCTGGGAATTGACAAAAATGTAGATTCTGACTTGGTATGTCTGGAAAGGGGCCTGAGATTCTGCATTTCTAATTAGGTCCCAGGAAGAGTTGATGGAGGTGGGCCATGGACTATACTTTAAGGAGCGAGGCTTTAGTAGGGGCATTAGAGGATGAGAAGAGTAGAGGTAAGGGGCTGCATTAGAATGCTGGTGTTGAGACCCAGGAGGAAAATGATGAAGTGATGATGCCACAAACTAGGGGACCCTTGCTGCATTCTTTGAAACCTTGGTCTCATTTGTAAAAAAATATTTAAGTAGTTATTGAGTATTTTCCTTTTATCTGTCAATAGTTAGACTGGCTAAGTTATGGAAAGAGGGAGGGAGCGCAATTCCTGTCTTAGTTCTTAAATACTGGTCCTGCTTTAAGCCCATCAAGGTCTCAGTTGTCTCATTTCATCTGTAAAATTGAAGTTTGGTTGTTATGAGTTGAGTTGTGTCCTCCACAAACTCTATATGTTGAAGCCCTAAATATCAGTACTTCAGAATGTGACCTGACTTGGAAATAAGGTGATTGCAGATGTAATTAGTTAAGATGATGTCATGCTAGAGTAGACTGGACCCCTAATCCAATTGACTGGTGTCCTTATAAAAAGGGAATTTATATACAGACACATACATCACATATGCCATGTGAATCTTAGAGTTATGCTGCCACAAACAAAAGACATAACTGAAGCAAGGAGAGAGACCTGGAGCTGGAAGATCCTTACTGGGCACCTTCCGAAGGAGCACTTATAGCCTCCAGAGCTGTGAGACAATACATTTCTGTTGGTCTAAGCCAACCAGTTTGTGGTACTATGAGACAACAGCCCTAGCAAATTAATACACTAATTTATATATGTAAGATAATTTCAGGTGCAAAATACTACACAATTTTCTCTACATATCCTATAGGAAATATGAATTAAATGTGGTTGTACAGGAAGATTTCTGTTTTTCCATCCATTATAAATTTGTGATTTTTCATTTAAGTTCAGATTCTCCTTTTAGAGAATTGTTCTCTTTTTTTTATGTTTCTTATGTAGATTTTTTACTAATAAGCTTAACTGATTCAACCCAAAGAAAACACCTTCTTGGGCCTGCTGCTGAAAGGTACAGATGTAGCATAACTAAAATGCTTTGAAAACAGGTTTTGGGACATGCATGAAATGATAGTAGTGGGTATGTGCTTACCTCAGCAATAAGAAGGCTTTTGAGAATTATTTATTTTTGAACCACGCAAGAATATTTTAGCAAAGCATTGTCCTAAGTGATTCCAGCAACAGTAACATCAAACCCATAGAAAACAAACAAAAAATACCCATCTTAACATAAAAAACAATAGTTTCTTTTTTAGTTGTAGACAAAAACACCACTGTGTCTTTTATTTCACAATTAATGTAGCCAATGTAATGTACTTTTTTATTTACTGGATTCTGAGTTTAAAGAACAAATGGGAAAAATAAAAGGCACCTTCTTATAAGACAAAGAAATTTTCCCTATTTAAAAGGACCAGTATCCTTCCCCTACTCACCTATTTAGGAACATATTAGACTCCGGTAAAAAGGAAGGGGTTTAGGATGAAAGAAGCTAAACAACCTCAGAGAAGAATAGAATTAGTAGAATAGTAATGTTGCTTTCTGGGTAAGGGAACTCTGCAGGGTGTGCAAACTATTCTTATTTAATTTTCTTGACAATAACTGGCATTTGACAGGAGATCTTTCAGTAATCACAGTGTCTCAGATTCCTCATCTACAAAATGGAGGTAATCTTCCTCCTCAGCATAGAGTATAAGAGGGATAGAAACATTTCATAGAAAGAGATTTGATTTTTTCATTAAATGTCTATATCCATGGAAAGATTTGCTTCAATAATAATAGCAGAGCCATTTATTAAACATGTTAAATATACTATTAGGCACTGGAAAGGTGTTCTGCATTTTTTTTCTCATTGGCTCTTCACAACAGCCCTATTAGATTATGTGTTATATGTAGACTCTGAGGCCAGAGATATTAATGAACTTTCTCAATGTCAAAGGCCAGGAGGGCACACAGCCAAGATTCACTCTCATCTCTTAGCTCTGCAGGGATCCCCAATTCAGGTGCTGCAAAGCTCACTGCTCGTGCAATGACAGTCATTATAACTGATATAGCACTCACTTTGGAATCTCTCAGGGTTGGCAGGGAGGTGATACCGGCTTGCCTTCCTAAAGCCTATTCTCCATAACAGGGGTCCATCTTCAGAGATCCTGATTCATTAGATCTTGGATTGGACCCTAAATCTTTATTTTAAAGGACTCTCCGGGTGATTCTGATGATAACCAGAGTTGGTGTCCACTGCTTTCTGCACCTCTGTTTAGTGAAGTCAGGTCTTTTTTTCTGTTTGTCTGTTTGATCTGTGCGATCCTGCAAGAGAGGAAAGAACTACAGAAATCATCTTAGGAGGAAAAGGCAATTGGCTAGCTACTGTTTGGTGGAATGACTACAAGATGAAAGATAGGTCTGGTGACTTCCTTTTCTCTTGTGAATCACTACAAATCTGGAAAGAAAAGATAGTCATACTGTTCTGTGCCAAACATCTAGTAAATTCTAGATAAATATGAGTGAACTCCCTTAAATGTGACTGTGATGAGTTTGGAAGAGAAGAAAGGCCCCTTAGGTGTGCTCTGAGGAGCCCCTGCTTGGAGGAGTATTGAATAAGTGAAAATCTTACAATTTATAATTTATTATTAATTCCCCTCCTTTAATTCATAACAAATTGACTAATGACTTTTCCCTCTCCCCCCCTAAAAATTACTACATGTGGTAGATTATAAACCTGATGAAGAGATGCAGCAATACTCCATTAATATTTATAAGTGTCTCAATGCTTATATTTCCCATATATTTGGAAAATCAGCCCAAGTAATTAAGGAATATGGGGAATTATAAAGATGAAAAATATCAGAAAAACAGTGTGCACGGAAGTTATCAACACTATTTTATTCCTACTGTTATATCTTAATGACTTAATTTTCCATGAATGGCATTGTTAAAATGTAAATTTCTAGATTAAAAAAACCCCTAAATCTCATTATCATCCAGGCAAACGCATATTTTCCAACAGTAAACTTACATATTGGGCTTCTCCACGAGGTAGTGGAAGTGTTTACTTCCGATGATTTTCACCATCATCTCAGGCATCACATCTGATCCACAATGAGTCTTCCACACTGAAGACATGATCCTTCTCAAAACTCTTCAAATCCTTTGAGGTGAAAAGTAAATCTTCTTGCCTTTCCAGGCTGACAAGGCAACTGTAGTATCCTTGTCAATAACAACAATAAAAATAGTGGATCAAATGCTTTACCTATATTATCTCACTTAACACTGCCAATTAAGACGTGAGTAAAATACTCTTAATTACTTTCATCCTCCTTTTACAGTTGCGGGAACAGGCATACTGTAGTTACGTAATAACTCAGTATCACATGACCAGCAATTAGTTGGAACTCCCACCCAAGACACCTGCACAATTGGCCTGCAGAGCCATTTTGTGACTCTACCATCCTGCTGTCATCGAGTGGTGCTGTTTTGTGAGGTTCGAGTGGTAACCAGGACTTCAGTGGGACATACAAAGATTTTATATTCAGCTCTGATGCTCAGTTTCTCCTTTTATAAAACCCAGGGGACGCAGGGTGAATTCAGTGAGATAACGCATTTCAAGAAGCATTGTGCACAAAAAAAGAGGTTTTCTTATTTATTTTTTATTTTATTTTTTGTTCTGTGATCGGCTTTTGCAACAAGCCAATGAATTTGAGATTGAGATCCTGCACCAGATAAGCACTGGGTGTTTAAACAGGTCCATGCCAAGGGGAATTTAAGGTTCTGTAAACCTGGCCCCAGGCGGACTACTCCTTTTTTCAGAGCCTCTCAGAGATCGAAAGTCCTTTAGAAATAATTCTAATCCAAATGCTTACGTTAAAGACTAGCAAACAGAGGCCCAGAGAAGGTGTGTTATTTGACCAAGGTCCCACGTTTCTAGTACTGATGTCTGATAATTCAACCAGTGTTCTTCCCAAGACCCTATCTTCACCTGGTGTGTGGTCAACACTAGGATCCGCTCTGTAAAGGTAGCCCCATCCAGCAGGACCTGCAACCTTTGAAGCTGCCTGGAAACTTCAAGCATCAGATTTTATGATTGTGGGGTTCCCTCTCTCCCCAGCATCTGCGCGTCAGTCCTGAGTCCTTTCCCAGGAGAGAGCAGAGGGGGCATCCTTACCGCTGAGGCTGCGTTTCCTCAACCAGACAGCTCAGGGACCCTGGCAGCTGAGGGGTGTGCGGTAGGCACTGTTCCCAGGAATCCCACCGCAGGGCCCAGGAAGAGGGTCGGGGCGGACTGGCGATTGGAGCCCAACACTCTGGCCAATCATGGGGCCTGGCTTGCGGGTGAAGGCTGCTCCTTCCCTGATAGCTAAGGACGCTGAGGGGAGTTGCTGGGCGCTGTTGCTGGGTGGAGACAAAGTTTCTATTCACCTGGGAGAGGCAGAGTCCCTCCTCCACGGATGTCCAGGATGTGTGCCTGCTGACAAGCTTAGGTGTTCTCAAATCTGCGTTTTGAGGCTTCTTCAAGGATCTGTGACCGCCTTTCAGGAAGCCGCAGTAGCTCATCTATTGTAGTCACGCTTGTCCTTCTCTTTTCCTTAAGCCTCATTTCCCTTTATGAGATATGCCCATACTTGGAAACTTTACACTTGTTGGTTCAAATCCAGGCTACTCCACCGTATGGCTTTGAATAAATTCCTACTATCTCCTGAGATTCAGATTTCTCATTTTTAAGATTTTTATTTTAGAAAAATAAAAACATGGGCCTAACGTTAAGTTGGTGATAAAATTAAGCATGCAAAAAATAATTTTGAGTTGTATTGATATGTCAGATCCCTCATTTGGACCAGATGACTACCACCTTATACTAGTCATCTATTATTGTATTATTCACAGAGGACTAAAGAGGCAAGTGACAGAACCAAGATTTGAATGTAGACCTACATTACCAATCAAGTACTTTCTACTATGCTAAAGACTTCAGCAAATGTAGGTAAAGGCACTTTATTTTTTTTAAAGTTTAAAAAAAGATTTTATTTATTTATTTTTACAGAGAGGGAAAGAGAAGGAGAAAGAGAGGGAGAGAAACATCAATGTGTGGTTGCTTCTCACATACCACCTACTGGGTGCCTGGCCTGCAACCCAGACATAAGCCCTGACTGGGGATGGAGCCAGCAACCCGTTGGTTCACAGGCCAGCACTCAATCCACTGAGCCACACCTGCCAGGGCAGTAAAGGAACTTTAAATTGACTCCAGAATGATTTTTTTTTTTCCCCCACCAGGAGCAGCAACCTCAGCATCCATACCAGCTGCCCCTGTCCTCTAGTTGTACTGTGTTTTGTGGTTTACTGTGTTATGTTCTACATGTAGCCGGAGACACATGATACAGTCAGCTCCCCTGCAGGGCTCTCTCTCTAATGGGCAAGACACACAGGCACCTTCTATGATACACAAAATGCTGCGGCTGTAGAAGAGATGGGTCAGCTCCCTTCTCGCTCCTCCAGCCCAGCCTTCACACTGTCACCAGAGTGCAAAAGGTTTCCTCTAGTCCAATGTCTCAAAGGGCTCTCATCAGCCATAGAGGTTGCCCATGGTTTCACAGTCTTCTATGCCCTGACCTCAACCTTGATCTCTAACTTGATCGTCCACTACTTCTCCCAGGCTTCCTATACATCCCTGTGACTTATTTATTTTGTAACTGGATATTTTTACCTCTTAATCCCCTTCACCTTTTTGTCCATTTGCCTCACTGCTATCCATTCATTAAGTTCCATGTCAAATGGTTGAGAATGTTCACCTTGGGTTCAAATTCTGGCTCTGTTAGTTCAATGTGATTTTGGGCAAATCACTTAACATCTTTGTACCTTAATTTCCTCTTCTATAACATGTGGATGCTTTTTTTTTGGTGAAGATTAATTGAGTTATATAAGTATGGCACTTAAAACAATGCCTGACACATAATGAGCAATGTCAGTGTTTGCTATCATCATTATTATAATTATCTGTCAAGAAGCCAAACCAGATCCCAGAAGCCGAAAATGGTTTCTCCATTCTTTGTATAATTTGTGGTTTCTCTTTTATAAAATGTGTCTTTCTTTGCCTGAAAGTATGAATATTTATTTGCATCAGTTTTCATATTTTCTTGGACTATGCTTGTGGTAGGCTGAATAATGGCCTTCCATGCATCCACTTCTTAATCCCTGGACCCTATTAATGTTACCTTCTGTGGCAAAAGGGATTTTGTAGATGTAGTTACGTTAATGATATTGAGATGGAGAGATTATCCTGGATTACCCAAGTAGGTCCTAAATATAATCACAAATATTTTTAGAGAAGAGGGAAACAGAAGGAGACTTTACCACAGAAGAAGAAGCAGGAGATATGACCATGGAAGCAAGAAGTTAGGAGTGATTTAAAGAAGAGGTCCTTAGCCAAGGAATGAAGGTCTTCTTCAGAAGCTAGAAAAAGTAAGGAAAAGGATTTTCCTTTAGTGCCTCCAGAAGGAACCAGACCCGGCTCACCCCTTGACTTTAGGTCATTGAGGATGATTTGAGACATCTGGCCTCCAGAACCGTAAGAGAATAAATTTCTTTTGTAATAAACCACCAACTTTGTGATAACTTATCATGGCAGCCGTAGGCAAATTAAGCCAATGCTACTGAAGGATCCACTTCATCATAGAACTAATCACACTGTATGCCTTAAATAGGTCAATGACTGGTTTACAGATATTGAAGGAAAAAGAAATCTTCTGTCTGCTGGGGTTACTAAATTGAGAGGTGCTAAGGCTGTTGGCAGATAATTACATCAACACATATCGCCTTTTTTCAGTAGAAGAAGAGGAAACCAGGTCAGAGCTGAAAGTGGAGGCTCTGTGGTGAAGGGGAAGGGAAAGAAGCTGGATCTGACTATGCTTGAAGTTAGAATCTAGAATTTCCAAGCAGAGGAGGGATGGATTTTCTTGTCGCTTAAATTACTTTGAGATGGCCTTCATTAATCTTTACCCAAATAGTCCTGACTCCTTAAGGCAGAGACTCTTAAATTTCATGTTACTAAGACTTATATATGGGAGGTAGTTAATTAAATGGCTAAGTTTTATTGTAGATTCTGTGATAAAGCTTGAAGGGGTAAATTGATTTTGATCGAATCTGATATCCTACTACTAAAAACTATCCTTTGACTTTATTTTGACTTAAAATTTTATAACTGCTAACTTGAAACATAATGACATTGGAGGGAGCCTTCGATTGCGCAGCACATCCATCAGCTTGGAGGTATTCAGAGGAAATTTGATATATATTTTTTTCAGACTGAAAGGAATCGGTTTTGTCATTTCCTAGCCAAGTGACTTTGAAAAAGCAATTTAACTTTTATCTTTAAGGTGGAAACAAACAGTAATTATCCTGAAGATTGTTATCAGGATTAGAGGTAACATTCCTAGCACTAGCACACAATAGGCATCCAAGGAATTGTATTTTTGTTTATAAAAATAGCAGCTAACATTTAATGAATATTTATTATGTGCCAGAGGCTCTCCAAAGAGCTTTTCATTCAATATCTCATTTAATTTCCCCAAGAATTTTATGAAATAAAGAAATTAATGTTCCCATTTTAGAGATGAGCCTGAGGCTGAGAGAACATAATTTTCTCAAAGGAACAGAGCTAGAAGAGCCAGGGTTGCAAGGCAAATCCAGTGTGTCTGACTACAGAAGAAGCCTTTTTAGTCACTACTCCTCACCTCCTCTGTGGATGTTAGTTTACCATTGTTGTTATTATTATTTCTGTTAATGTTGTCAGTGGCATTGTTTTAAGGCTCTAGGTCTCTTAGAGGATGCAAATTCTAGGACAGAATTCCTAAGGAGGAGTGGACTTATCTGGGATTTTCTTTTTCACATTCAGCTTTATGAAATGATATAACCAGGAAACATATCTCCAGTGGTTTATATTAAACAAGGCAAAACAAAAAGCTGTGCAATAAATGTCTCCATAAGATTAAATACTGTGGTTAAAACTGCCTTCCTTGAAGTCAACAGCTTTAGATTACGAGTCACCAGAGGAAGATTCCAGAGAAACATCTTCATCCAATAGAGTAAGCTCTCTCTTTTTCCCCCTAAAGAAAGATGAATAGCTGTAATAA